CCTTCAAATCTTGAAACTTGATTTTCAACTAAAACCTAACACACCACCACACAGTCTTTCAAAAGTTTGCATCTTTTTAAACACATCTTTAAACAAAGACCACAAAACACAGAGATAAAACCAAGATTATCAGAAAAACCAAACAAAGGTTTTTACTTTTTTTTTGGTTTTATCATTTGTTTATGTCTTGTTCTGTGTAAACAGTGTGACCCGGAAAGGTCAAACCTTTGAGGCTATCTTTACTTCTTCCTTTGGCTTTTCCTACGTTTTAATCTGATTTCTTCTTTGTCAATTTCAATTTGGGAAACTCTCAGAATCGTGAACAAGACCGACCCTTTTTGTTCTCTCTAAATCTCTCCTGGTAATTGACTTTTTGTTTTTGTTTCTTGGTCCTTTAATCCTTGCTTGTTTTGGTTTCAGATTTGCTTAATTATCTTGAGAATCTCATTAAGCTTGTTCGATTATGTTGTTGCAGTTGTGAAATATAGATCCTAATGCTGCTCTGATTGTTTTGAATTGCGAGTATGAAAGAATTGTTTATTAGTTAATTGGTTTGAGTATTGCATAGATTTATTAGCTATCAAAGGAAGAAATTTTACATGAATTTGGTGGGTGTGTTCCTTAATTCTTTTTCAATTCTCAGTGGATTTGGATGATACTMTGTGTTAATTAATTTTGATGAGATTTGGATCATAAAGCTCTCAATACTTGGTCTTATCTATGATGATGTAGTAACAAAGGCTCAATATTTAGGGGGGGGGGGGTGTGTGACATATTAAGAATCTGACATGTGGGGAAACATTACAGTTGCAGGTGAATGGTGGAACAAACTGTTGGTTAGAGAACATATCAAAGCGAGAATCATGTCATTGGTTAGGTCAGCTGAGCCATCCGCTGCGACGTATAGGAACCCGAAGCTCTACTCCTTGAATGAGGATGGTAACAATATTGGTCTCGCTTCTGCTCAAATCTTTGATCCAGACAGGTCTAAGAATACTTGCCTGACTGATGATTCTTACCCAAGCCAAAGCTACGAGAAGTACTTTCTCGATTCGCCAACTGATGAGTTTGTACAACATCCTATTGGCTCCGCTGCATCGGTTAGCTCGTTGGACTCATTTCCTTATCAGCCAAGACCGGTTCTTGGATGCTCCATGGAATTTCAGTTGCCGTTTGATTCAACCTCTGCATCGTCTACAATGCTGTTTGGAGGTTACCAAGCGGGAATTCAAAGTCCGAGCATGGATGTGGTGGAGGAGTTTGACGATGAGCAAATGAGATCAAAGATTCAAGAACTTGAAAGAGCGCTTCTTGACGATGAAGACGATAAAATGATTGGAATAGATCATCTGATGGAGATTGACAACGAATGGTCTTACCAAAACGAAAGCGAACAGCATCAGGACTCTCCCAAAGAATCTTCATCTGCAGATTCCAACTCTCATGTCAGTAGCAAAGAAGTGGTGTCGCAAAGTACTCCGAAGCAAATCTTGATATCTTGTGCACGTGCGCTATCCGAAGGAAAATCAGAAGAAGCTTTGTCAATGGTAAATGAGCTGAGGCAGATTGTTTCGATCCAAGGAGATCCTTCTCAGAGAATTGCAGCTTACATGGTTGAAGGTCTAGCTGCAAGAATGGCTGCTTCAGGGAAATTCCTCTACAAAGCATTGAAATGCAAAGAGCCTCCTTCTGATGAGAGGCTCGCAGCTATGCAAGTCCTCTTCGAGGTATGCCCTTGTTTCAAATTCGGGTTTTTAGTTGCTAATGGTGCGATAGTCGAAGCAATCAAAGGTGAAGAAGAAGTTCACATAATCGACTTCGATATAAACCAAGGGAACCAATACATGAGCCTGATACAAACAGTTGGTGAGTTACCCGGTAAACGTCCTCGCCTGAGGTTAACTGGAATTGATGACCCTGAATCGGTTCAACGCTCAGTCGGAGGTTTAAAAATCATCGGTTTAAGACTCGAGCAATTTGCACAGGATCATGGAGTGTCCTTCAAATTCAAAGCAGTGCCTTCAAAGACTTCGATTGTCTCTCCATCAACACTCGGTTGCAAACCCGGAGAAACCTTAATTGTGAACTTTGCATTCCAGCTTCACCACATGCCTGACGAGAGCGTCACAACGGTAAACCTGCGAGACGAGCTACTCCACATGGTCAAAAGCTTAAACCCGAAGCTTGTCACAGTCGTTGAACAAGACGTGAACACAAACACTTCCCCGTTCTTCTCCAGATTCATCGAGGCTTACGAATACTACTCAGCGGTTTTCGAGTCTCTAGACATGACGCTTCCGAGGGATAGCCAAGAGAGGATGAACGTAGAAAGACAGTGTCTTGCTAGAGACATTGTCAACATTGTCGCTTGCGAAGGAGAAGAACGGATTGAAAGATACGAGGTTGCGGGGAAATGGAGAGCGAGGATGATGATGGCGGGATTCAATTCGAGACCAATGAGTTCTAGAGTAACCAGCAATATACAGAACCTCATAAAGCAACAATATTGCAATAGGTACAAGGTCAAAGAGGAAATGGGTGAGCTCCATTTTTGCTGGGAGGACAAAAGCTTAATCGTTGCTTCAGCTTGGAGGTAACAAGATAGTCACTATGTTTCATAAACAAAAAAAAAACTGTTATGTTTTTATTTTGTAATCTTGGGTTATTGTGTAACTGGTTAAAATCATCTCCATGTATTATTATTACTAGAGATCAGAGATGATCACAGGGTTATAAAGCTAATCTAACACTTATGGAAGTACCATTGTTTTCTTTTCCTCTCTTTTATATATAAAAGTAGAGTTTTTGTTCTTAAACTTATTTATTATATTGATGCAGTTACAATTTTATTGAATTTTAGATATCAAATTCACTGGTAAACGCAAATCTGTGGACTCACTTGTTATTGGGCTTGGGCTTATCAGTTTTAAGCCCATTAGACCCATTAAACTCACAAAGGCATATCATCATCTTCTTCTTCTTCAATCACTTGTTTATCAGTAAGAAATTAGGAATCTTACATTTTTTTTCAGCATCGTTATTGTTACATCCCAACAAAAGCAAAAACTCTAAATCAACAAGAGTTAATACGAAATCCACACAGAACAAATCCTAAAGAAAGATTCAAACTTGCAGGTCTTGCTTTCCATTAACCACACTCTGCTTCTCTTCAACTTTCATCTCCACAGATTTCTCATCTATTTCAGCATCTGCAGATTTCTTCTCGCCTTTGTTTCCACAGTATATGAAGTAGAGAATCAATTGCAGTGTCCCTAATGCACATCCAAACCCATTTGGGATCTTCACAAAAACATAAATTTAGAACTCAAAGTTTTGGTTTTTACCAAAGACGACAACAAGAAAAAAAGGAGACTTTTTTTTTCAACTTACTGCAACAAAAGGGTCACGACCGATAAGACCATAGACGAACCACGACGTACCACAGAGGAACACAAAGAGAGACAAGAAGAATGGCATGTACTCTACACTCTTCGTCTTTATCACCAATCTCTGTTTACAAATCCGAACAAAATCAACGAATTGGTCTCACAAAGAGCAAAAGTTAAAGAGACCCAAATCTTGATTCTTGCTTACCATGATTGAGAGTGGAGAAGCGTACATGATGATGGAGAAAACAGTGGCTGCAATACCACAGAAGAGTTTTCTTGCGTTTCCATGGAGGGCAAAAAGAGAGACGAGAGCCACCGTTGCGAATACAGTCAATACGCAAGTGAAGACACCAAAGATCTTAGCTTTTTCTTTCTTTGGTGCGTAGAAGAGGAAGATCAAGACGTAGATTGTTTCGATGACTGCTCCTGTTCCATTGATTGTGCTCACAAGTGTGTTGTCTTTTGACACAAAGGGAAGTCCGTACCTGAACCCAAAGAGAAAAAAACAGAGGAACCATAGAAAACAGAGTTGGTTCGTGATTGCTCTTTAATGGAAGATTTAAGAATCGAAAAAGAATGGTTTTTACCAGGCGGAGAGGAGACAGTTGAGGAGAGTCATAGGGTAAGGAATGCCAGAGAATTGTTCGGTAGATTTGTTCTTGATGATTCTCTTGAATGTTATCCTACACAAAGAAAGAAACAAGATTCTTGAGTTTTCTTTCTTCGTTAATCAAAGGAGGCAAGAAGAGAGAAGATGAGTACGTACGAAGGAGACAAGAAGAGAAACAGAGCAGTTGCATTTCCTGTAAAAGCAGAAAAACAGAGCACACTCAGTGATTGATTTCTCGTG